AAAGGTGCAGGTGGTTAGCTTCCATCTCTCGGGGTTTATGCATCCCACCCTTTAACTGTCTCTGAAGGTTCTGAGTCTTTCCCTTCAGCACATCATTAAGGCCAGCATTAATAATGAAGAAATTTTCGCCCTCCATACTGTCCTCTACAACCTCCTGAGCTTGGCCCAGTGCATCCACCATGCACTTCCCTGACTGGGCCTCCACTCTCACTCTCCTAAGTAAAAGTAAGTAAAAGTACTGTACGAATGATTGATTGATATGATAGGTTCGCAGTGATGCTACTGGCTTCGGCTTCTTCGAAGCAGCTTTTGGAGCCAACAAAAATGCGTTTTGGAGCAGCTAAACTGGCTTTCAGAGCAGATATTGCTAGAGTCAATATTAAGCCACTTATTGTGTCCACGGAAAAATTCGTAAAGAGGGGTTGTGTCAAGCTGACGCTCCGACAAGCGGTTTTGTTTCCTCAGAACAAAACTGTTCTTGTCTAGCCTTGAGAAAGACAAGTCCGCTTGTCGAAACGTCGGCCTGACACAACCCTTATTTGCAATTTTTTTTCGTCGCATCCACCCCTTGCTGCCGTTTTTTGAATACTGTGTTCATGACACACGAATGATAAAATTACAATCTGATAAATTACAAGCTGTACGCTATTCAAGCAAAATAGAGTTGAAAAGAAAAGAAAGTTATATCACCGACAGAGAACCTAACCACATTTATTACAGAAGGCTAATGATAAAATTTAAAACCACACCACTTCATTATAACGTAAGTGAAGATCAGTTGAGTGCCGATTTTTCGCAAGCCAGATTTTTGAGACATGCTTGAAAATTCAGACGATTTCACGACAGCATCACAAGCCCTATCGACGCCTATGGACAAGCACATCTGAAATTTCCTACGCTCAAGCTCTGGGGCGTCCGGTTTTTTGGCTTTCAGCCAACATTCCAGGTATGAAACAGCATTACTTAAAGGGGCCCTGCAACACTTTTCGAACATGGTCAGAAAACGCTCCTGATCGGTAGTGGGGGCTCCCGAGAACACGCGAGCTAAATATTTTAGCAAAGCACGCGGCCTGGAATTCACAATAAATTGTCAAAGTCAGCTGAAAATTGATTTCTCTTCTCTCGAGAAATGACGGAAGACGCTCGAAAATCACTCGTAGAAGGCCATCTCTCTGCTGTTGGCTGATTTGAACATGGTGCGCGCGTTAATTACAGGACTCGCCGTGGGACGTCGCGTCTTGTTCACGCGTGCGCGCGCGATCGCGCCGAAAAAACAGTGCATTAAAAAAAAGAAAAAGAAAACAGTGCTCAAGGTCACGAGGCGTGCGTGACGTTTCTTCTTTTTTTTTTTTTTGCCCCTGTCACCCCTTTCTGCTTAGCTTCCAGTGATTTCATCGGGACGAGAGAAGAGAGAATGTGTTTGCAGCATAAGACAAATGTTTGTAACTGCGCTCGTACTGCACGGATTCTCAAAATTTTTGCGGCGTTGAATTTTTGAAGCAATAGGTTTTTTCAGTAAATCCAGTCCATGGTTACCTGAAAAAGTGTTCAAGGGTCCCTTTAAGGTTTGTACCTTTGCTACGTCTATGACCTGGTTGGATTGAATGAGCGCTCTTCAAGAGTCGTTTAGCGTCACAGTAATGTTCGAAAATTGGCTTCCCGCAATGCAGAAGAGCTATAGGGTGCAGCAGATAAAAAATTGGCCCCGTATCTGCATGTTACACTGCAAATGTCGTCGAAAGAAAATAGTCCTGCGTCTGGAGAGAGTGAACAAAATGTTTATTTGATGTTCTGCGCAATAAAATCGGTGAATGGTATTCTGGAGGCACTGCGTTAGAGTGCCTCAAGCGTGCTGCGAAGGCGGACGAGCGCATCGTCACGTCACACGTGAGACATGAGCGCTATCTTGCAGTTGTCTTGAAAAATGAAGTGCGCGGCGTTCACGCCTGTCGCGGAGGTGATAAGGTGTAGAACGCAAGACGACGGATAGGTGGCACCACCATGACGTCTTAGCAAATCGTTGGAAACACTTGCCTTTTCGTGCAAACGTTGCATGGTCAGTGCAGCGTGATAAACGCTACGGTCCTTGGAATTACTTATGCATGCCTTTTCCAGTAAAAGAGACACATACAGAATATTGACGTGTTGTTATGGCGCCTCAGATATGCGCAATAATTGTTTTTTAATTGACAATCGCACAAGTATGAACACTGAATGTTGAGCTATATTGGTGGGCGCTGTGGATGAGGTTGGCCGTTTGGGGAATCGTCTGGTGCCGTTTAGGGTACCGTTAGGGCGGACAGACAAATCTACAGGCAGACAGACCAAAATTTTTGCGTCGAGGGTCCCCAAGAAGTTTTTAAAGACACACTCACCAGGCCCTATACCAAATTTTAGTTATACCGAATAAAGAACGTTTTGCCACAATTTTTTTAATCGGTTCATTACGACCCGAGAAAAATTTTTTGAAGCGGCGCGAAGCGGACGAGAGGAGGCGAGCTCGAAACCTTTGCCGCTCCTCCGCGTAGCCTTCGCAAGCCAAATCTCTTCCCCACCCTCTCAGGCATCCGACCAAGAGGTCACGTACGCATGACGTGCTCGAACAAGCCGAACCTCCGTGCACGCGAGTGCCGTTTTTTCTGTTGTTGTTGTTCACCATGCAGCGTTATTTCGTGTCGTAGTTTAGTGCCTGTTTCTGCGGGACAATTCGGAAACGCTGTATTAGACGTGGTAGGAGAGATGAGCACCATGAGTGCGCATGCGGAACGCCGGCACATTAGCCCCGCATCTCGTTGCGATTCACGGGGGAAAAAAAAGAAAGCTCACATTCCCTTATTGCGCCTCATTATTTATCAAGAGATTTATTAATCTCTTCAAGCAACAAATACATAAACGACGCATGTTGTGTTAAATAATTTTCGCCATTGCACGTGCCACTGCTGGCAACGTCAGAGCATAGTCGCCTACGTAGAGGACCAACGTCACTGCACTGCCGTGTACATAGAACCATTCATACGCGCACGTCATGCCCTCATTCTCTGGGCACGCGCCCACAAAAGCAAGGGGGAGCAGTATATTTTTTCACATTTCTGTTCTTTACTTTCGCACCTTTTGCCACAGTGCTGAATAATAAATACAGTTAACCACACGGCATTTCTCATTACGATGGTTTATGCTTATGACCACTATATTTTTATGTATACATATATATCAGCCTAAGTTACATGATGAGTATTTTAGTAGGCGTTTCTAAGGCTGTAATTGGCCTGCATGTTTGCCTGTGTGACACCTTTGTCTCTAGACAACACTCCAGAGTGCCTTTAGCCGCTAGGGCCTAGTAAAGATATGTATAAATATATTGTACACTCGCAGTTAGCTGTATAAACCAAATAGTCTGCCACGCGCGCGCGCGCGCGTGTGTGTGTGTGTTGTGTTGAGATGTTACCAGGACGTGCGAAGGTTCAATAGAGATGTTATTCTCTGGCCTGAGTATATCTTAGCACACGTACGAAGAGTCACCCTGTAATATGCTTTAACGAGGCCTATCAGACCTTGGAACTGTGCCTGGCTTTTCCCATTAAAACGAACCTCTGCCTATAACAAATTATCGTAGTCATCGAATGGCGAGATCTGTACCGGTGGGTACAAGGCCACCGCTTAAGCATTAATTAACCCCGTCGCCAAGCCAACTTAAAACACTCTATAGATATTTCTGCCTAAAATCTCACAGAGTGACAAAAGCCTTGAAAAACACCGCGACACGTACGTTTTCCGTATGCAGATATAATTCATTATTAGAGCGCCCAGGAATGTTGATATTGTGATAGTAGCAGCACTTAGCTTCTAAATCATCTCAGCACGAAGTGAGCAAAAAAAAAAAAAAGTTGGGTAAGTGGCAAAGGGGGGGGGGCGGACGAAAAATTTCGAAAGAAAGAGTTCGAACCCCCCCCCCCCCCCCCCACCGGCTACGCCACTGGCGCCCTTGTTTGCTCCCCCTGTTTCTCTCTCGGCCGTGAGTCCTGTGTTCCTACCCTGCTCGAATACTGCCGCGCCAAAGAGCTGTATGTTCTCGGAGCCTCCATGCTGTTGCCAGGCACTGCGGCCCCCTGATTGCTCTCCCCGCCAGTGACCTTATCCGCTACCCGCGCCTTCTACCTAGTTCACACCGCTCGGGGCAAGGCCAAAGCGCCTTTTTACCCACTCCTCGAGCTCGGCCTGCCCTTCCCGTTCTTTTCTAAGGTCGCCCTTCATTTGCTCTAATAGACTAATCTTCTGCTTTCGTTCCGTCCTCGCCTCCCCATGCAGCCCCTCAATGTTAGCCTGCATGCGCCGCACTGCCGCCTTCAGTGCCTCACACAGCCTGCACACGAAACTCGCCTTCTCCACGTCCGCCAAACTCGTGAAGGCTGTCACGCCCAGGTAGCACCAGCGCTTGTATTCTTCTCACTGCACCAGCTCACTCTCGCTCGTGTTTTTTCCGGGTTTTTCTAGCCTCCTTAGCCATCGCCCGCCCGACCAATGGACCGAGTGCCCGACAGCCCCAAGTTCAACCCAAATCCCACTATCCAGCCGCCTCCGCTTACTCTCCTACCTCAACAACTGTCTGAAGCTGCCGCCTACACCATACGCACTCGTGCTCAACGTCACTAGTAGCATCTCACGGAGTCACGATACACTTCGTGCGCAACGGGCGCACCGAACTTGTTCAAAACTGCCGCCTACCCCATTCACAAAGTTGCCTGTGACCCACACCAACGTTGGCCCACACCTGCAGTACCCACAACGCAAGTCACCAAAGATTGATTAAAAAAAAACAAAAAAAATAATGATGTTTATAACAGTTATCTCAACCCCTCTAACAACCAAAACAAGCGAAAACAAAACAAACAAAAGAAAAACTTATCTCTTGTTGGGCTGCTTCTGCACCAACTAACCTGCTCCTCCACCGACACCGTTGCACTAAGCACTGCGAAATTTAGTAGCGCGCGACCTTCATTGTCTGCTAACACTGTAGAGGTTGTGCATGCGCGCACAAGCACAGAGCTATCAGAGCGGATACATTTGCGATGTCACGAGTATTTTCAAGTTTCGTGCGGCGCTTGCAGGTTGATATTGTTTTATTTACTTGTTTAACAAACTGCAAAACGTTTTCATTAAAAAGAATTGGGTAATGAAGCTGGTCTATTCTGTTCAATTTAGGTCTTTAGGCATTTATCAAATGAAGCGCTTAAAACAAGTGGCGAGAAGAGTTTGTCCTGCATTCTTCAAAAGAAATTTCCAGAGGCGGAAGACATCCAAGTGAAAGATATTTCAGGTGATGCATTGCATTGTAAAACGAGTGGACATCATCGTGTATTTGCCAAGTGACTGGTTCGTTTCGTCAAGGGTAAAATGCGACTTCATCGTTTGGTCTACCTGGAATTACGCATCCGTAATTCTTTTTTTCGCCTTTCTCACTCTTTTTGCAGGTGGCTGTGGTGCAATGTACGAAGTATATGTCCAGTCGACCGTTTTTAAGAATCTTTCAAGGGTACAGCAACATAGGTTGGTAAACGAGGTGAGAAACTGATTAGTGTCACATTTGTCTTCCCCAATAGTCTCCTGTCGTCACATTGAACCGATTTTTAATAGGCTGCCATGTCTTACGCAGGCATTGAAAACAGAGATACAAGACATGCATGGGATCAGAATAACTACAGCACTTCCCAGCAAAGGATAGATACGACAGTTTTTTAAATTGTTTGTTATGCGTAATTTGTTTGATTAAATACCGTAAAAATTGAATTGTGTACAGCGAGACCTTGCATTTTGATAAAATAAATAGTTTGTTCATCTGTGCCTGTAAATGCTTCTTTCGGTCGTTAAGCTTTGACAACTATTGAAGAATACACATTGCGAAAACCACATTTCTTTAGTGAAATCACAACTTGCTCGGCTCCTGGGAAGTGTTTTTAAAATTGCCTGCAACAACAGGAGTTCCGCGCCCTTTCCAATAATTTTCAGTGAGGTGGAAGAAATCCAAGCCACAATATCTCACTCGTTATATTCTATTCGCAGAAAGGCGCATGATGCCATACTGGGTTTGATCTGTGTTTACATTCTACCACACTTGCATTCCTAGAAATACATTGAAGCAGTATGACATGTTGCATTGAAGACAACAACCAAGTGCGCATGTAACTGTACTAGCACTGTGGCACGAGCGCGAGCCTTGCGTCAAAAGCTGGCTTGTAGTGACTCCAACGCCCAAGCTACGCCTGTTAGCATGTTCATATTTCTTGTAGTTAAATAGATCGTCTACAGCTACAAGCAGCTGTACAGACGGTACAATTGGCGTTGAGGAAGACTGGACTTATAGGCACTCCCCTACATCAAGGAAACAACATGGTGACGTCCGACTTTGGTCGGCTACCCGTATTCAGCGGCAGCTCCGGTTTTTAGAGATCCTGATATGGGAGGCTACAGTTCTTCAAGGTTAGTGACGTTGCAGATGCTGCCAGGAAACGTGCTTATCTGCTAATGCTGTGTGGGAAACAGACTTTTGACATCGTCTGCACCCTCGTTCAACCCAAGCAGGCCAACCAAGTGAGCTATGAGGACATAGTCGATATGCTAAAGGCTCACTTTGACCCACAACCGTCCGAGGTCTTCTGCAGGGCACGATTCCAGCGGAATGACCAACAGCACGGCGAAACACGCAGTGATTATGTCATGGAGCTCAAGAAGCTAGAAGCAGATTGCAATTTTGGGACAAGCGCAGACACTGCGGCGAATCCTGCAATGCTGCCTCTGGACGTAATGCTGTGTAATTGTTTCGTTTGCAGTCTTTGGAATGATCAGGTTCAGCAATGGCTGTTTGCAGAAGAGGACTTGATGTTTGAGAAAGCTTTCGACCTCGCTGTGTGAGCTGAAAACACCATAAAAAACCAGAACGTGGAAACCAAATTTAAAGAAATTAATAAATCCTGCTTCAAGTATCTGCAAGATAGATAACTGAGGTCACGCGAGTATCTGCCCAAAAGAAGAAACAATGTTGTTGGCATTGTAACACGCAACATATTCCGGACGCTTGTAAGTTTCAGACAGCCTCCCGCAACTACTGCAAGAAACGTGGACACATTAAAAAGGCCTGTCTGAAAAAAAAAACGGAAAGAGGCCAAAATTAGCAATAACATCAAGTATCCCTGACCAGGAACTTCGACAGCTGCCTCAGCACCCCTGATGACTCGGTGAGACTCGCCAGATGTAACTCTTTACGAGCTCAACATCTTAACCGACGCGTCCAGCACGCAAAAGGTGATGGAGGAAACGATGTGACAGTGCCATCAATGCCATTGAATGCAAAAGAGCCCACCCGAAGCTCCTATCTTTACATGGGACTCGCTACAGACAGCATGGTGCACGTTTACTTCGTGGAGCCTCTACTCGAGCACACCTACTTGGTTGTTGTAAACATATACACAAAGTGGGTGGAAGTGCGACACGTGAGGCAAGCAACATCTGCGGCTGTCATTGACGTGCTTCGAAGCCTCTTAGCAACGTTTGACATCTCGAAAGGTCCTCTCCGACAATGGAAAAGCATTTATCTCCACCGAGATGAAGCAGTTCTATGTGTCAAACAGCATACAGGCTGCAACCTCACCAGCGTACCATCGTGCAACAAATAGTCAGACAGAACACTATGTGGCGGAGCTGAAAAGAGCACTGCTGAGGGATGCAGACAAGTCCATACAGTGCTGACTTGCAAGATTTCTGTATCAGCAACACATGACGATACACGCTACCACAGGAATAACACCTGCGAGTGCGATGTTTAGGTGAGAACTGCTATGCCTTATCGATTTTCTCAAGTTGGAGGCGGATAAACAAAACTTTTGAGAGCCAGGAGGCATTGACAAAATCATGCCACTTTGTAGTTGGGGAGAGAGTGCTTATCCGGCTGTTTTTGAAAAAGGTAGGTTGGATTGAAGGTGAAATACTGCACCACACCGGACCACGATCCTGGCTTATAAAAAGCAACCATGGAAAGGTTTGACGTCACCTCAACCACATAAGGAAAACGAGCCAGACTGGACAAACAACCCAATTACTGACAGACTGGATCGCAGCAAGCGACCTTTCGAACACGTCAGAAAAGACGCCATCGAATTCTGCTAAACGGCCTAACTCACCTGATATGCAGGAGAACATTCCCTTGCAACCATCCACCATGACGTCACAAGCAGTGACCACCCGGCAAATGAGACCACCAGAGGTTAGGTGTCCTCCAGATTGCTATGGCAGGGGTACAACACCTGCGCCATTTCAGCCAAGTTGATACACTTCCCCATTCTTGCGCTGAGCTGTGCCAAAATCATGAAACTTGCTGAAATTGCGCCAAAGTGCCCGACCAGCCTCGAAATTTTCTCAGCTGCACTAATTTCAGTGAAAAATGGAGGCTACGTTTGCCCCCTGTAGTTTAATTTAAAGCCCCTAAAACTTTGCAAAGTAGCAACCTATGGGTTATTCACGCTCCTCCTCTCCTTTCCCCCTCCTCCGACCTCTCTGAGGCTGGCGCCGCGTTGGTATTGGCCAAATGCTGTCACATGGGACCGATCGCAGTGTTCGTTTCTTGACAATCGTGACTACCATCTTTGCTCTCGAGGCATGGACTCCTTGGAGCACAGTGCATCTGTTTTGACGAATACGAACTTGTCCTTCTGTACACGCTGTGTTTTGAAATACTTTTCACCCAAGGATGACATTGTTGTTCATTGCCGTGAGTGGTTGTTGCGCCTTCTGATGCTGGAACACGTTTAGTGATGGCCAAAGCTCTTTATGATACTGTTCGTTAGAGCAACGAGTTGTGACGAAAGACATGGTTGCATAGAATCGGAAGTGAGAACTTCAGGCCGATATTTTCTAATCCACTCTGTGAACTAAGTTTCACTTCTCTTGTTATAAGTGTGATTCGATGTTCGCTCAATTTAATGCCTGCTCTGATGCTGTAGACAAGACGCAGTTAAGTGGGCCGGACATCGCAATCTATCACTCAGGTTTTATTAACGCTTCTGTGAGGGCTGTTTTTTTTTTCATCAACAATATATGCTTACACGTTCTGCTTGTCTTTATGCGCCGACTAATTTAAGTTCATGGTACTGGTTTGTGCGCTTAGCATGTACGCGGAAAGGTGCTCGAAATGGTGATTGCGAAACTATGTAATTCAGATTTCACTCTGCTGTTTTGAATGACCAAAACTGGAGTGAAGCAACTCGAATTAAGATTGGTATTCACCGTTGGTTTTTGTTGCGTGCTCGTATGTTTCAGAGGAAATTGCTCTGTGTGGCTCCTTTACCTTGATCGATCAGCCAGGGGACTCGCGATGCGGGGGCAGCTATGCAAGGTGTGCATGCCTTCGAGTCATTGGGTGCGTGCATTATTTAAGAACCTCACACATACGTGCCATTTCGCATGATAGTTTATTTGCTATTTCACGTGAAGGTTTATATCTGCGAGTGGGGCTCCCGTGAAGTAATTGCATATGGTGGCACACTAGTTCATTTATACGCTAGCTCATTTTTTTAGCGATATTGTTCGTATGTGAGATACGTCCGTAGGGCACACTTTGGAGAATATGATTGGTGCAGCTAAGCACGTCACGAAACAACCACAGCTGTTCAAATGTATTACGTATAAATAATTTGGTCCTTCTGACACATTATTAAGACCTTGATGCCTCACCAAATACTAAAATTGGCCGTCGGTGACGTCGCCGTCCTGCGTCGACAGTGTCAACGCGTGTTGTTGCTTCCACTGCATGACAGTCACTGTTATTTCTCTTTGTAAATATTCTATACCCTATATAGGGCGAAGCTTGCACTACCGATGCGCTGAGTAAGGAAAGACAGTCTCACTGTCCCTTCGGGCGCTATCGTGCCAGGTAATAGAAAAGTAAGCCATAGCAGCCGCACATAACGTGTGCGGCCGCTATTTACGGCGTAAAACTTGTTCAGAGACTCGCTAAACAATGGGCCAAGAAAAAAAATGAGGGTCTCACGATAACGTTTTTATGTTTAAGAACATACATACTAAGGGGTGGTGTGCACAAAGTTAACATCCGGTCACTGCGACGCTGAGTGACTCGATCATAGCTTGATTACACGTATGCTTTGCGCATGGCACTAAACAAAGCTGTCATGGGCTAACGTTGCACTTGTTAAGGTAATTTTAGGATGAGTTAGATGGCTGGTGCGAATGCTATCAACGTGCTACATACACAGTGTTGCTGAGCAAGCACTCTCGTCGCGAAAGGGCGTCTGCTATGCAGAAGCAAGGCAGGTGGCGCCACATTTGAAAGGAGAGGAGACCGAGAATAAACGAGAGTGGAGGAGGAGAGTGTCACTACTTTGTAAAGTTTTAGAGACTATAGTTTAATTGCGTCATCAATCAATCTAGGGATAGGGCGGCCAGGGATCCAGGCGCTCAGACTCTAGCCCTAAACCATTGTTAAGCCAGGACCTCGCGAAACGTGATCGATGAGATAAACTAGCTACGTTGCACGCCCATCGGTCCACTGACCGCAGTGTATATCTATCAGCAGGACGACGCAACTTCTCGACCAATATGCGTTGCCGTAGCCAGCAATACTTCGCGGGTCAGCAAATGTGGTTACGGCGTGTAAAACTAAAGCTGGAAGCGTATGCCACTGTTATTGCACGTGAACAAACCAGGCGTGCTGCGAACGCCAACTTTGCTGGGGACCACGTTAGTTGCCATAGCAACAGAACATATGACAGACATGTGGTGCCATCGTCGGGCCAATGGGCACGTTCCGGTATTAATTTGCCTAGTCAAACTTGCCTTGCAA